AACAGTATAAAAAGAAAATTTTGAAAAATCTAAAAATTGAAAATCAAGAACTTAAAAATTGAAAAAGTGCAAAATCGACAAAACGAAATTGTATTATAAAATCAAAATATTCAAAATTTAAAAATTGATTAAATAAAAAATTATAAAATCGAAAGAAACATTGAAAAAATAAAAGAAAGGTAACAACGAAAAACTGTGATATAAAATCTAAAAACTATGAGTACATTGATAAACCACAAGCATACAGTTATAAAATTTTGCATGTCTCAGAGGATTTATTAGGCAAAATTTTGAGATAACGTCATTTTTGGTAGGAGATAAGTGAACAAATTCTGATTAACGGTTTACCATGATTCGATAACTTTAAAACGTTTGCAAGATTTCAGAGGATTGCAGTTTCAAAGTTAATTTGCAAAATATTGTTATAGAAATTTGTGTTTTTTTTTCCAAAAATCTTGATGTAGATGGTGAAAGTGCAGGAGTATCTTATTTATATAAATTACAATTTAATAAACTATGTAAAATAATATTTTCTTGTACAATTTTGCATTTGCTCGATGTGGACGTTAAAAAATAAAGGCGGCTTGATAAACCGCAAGTATAGAAAAATATTATTTCACAAAATTTGAATAGGATTTGCTTATAAATTTTACAAATTTTCGAAAAAGTTGGATATAAAAGTTCAGGGGCAAGGGAAGTTGTGTCGAAATAACTTTCGACCAACTTTTTTCATTTGTATATAGCTGCACATAACGAGCAGCTGCTTCTGTGAGAATATTAAAGACCATCGTTCTTCCAGAAACCGCGACTAATCTTCGAATTTGGTCCCCTTACAAAAATTCGTTCGGTCCCGCCCTGCCGAGCCGCAATCGTGTTAGCTGCCAAATTATCGCCGCAATTCGCACCCAACCACCCAAAAATAAACGGTCTCCGCGTCAAATTAGCTCTCTAAGCAATAAAGTAGCAATTTGCCCTTCTATCCATGATCTTGGCCACCTGTCCCCAATCCAAACATCCTGCAAATACGAAAACCACCCCAGCTTCCTGTCGGTCTCCCAGCCATAATAATCACCTCGACTAGGTGTCGAGTAAATTTGTAACTATTTGTAACATCCTGCGCTATTAATCCGCCATCATAAAAACGCCCCACGACAATATTTTATTTTCGTCTTCGGCGATCTGTTGATTGCGCCTATCGCATTTCCTGCCTTTTTGCATCACCAACGACTATCCGTCTCCGTCGTTAGGCTCTCGTCACGTCATTACGGAGTGTGGGATTGTTTTGGATATATTCCAAACGGCCTCGCAGATGAGTTTGTTTAACGCATTTCACCCCCTTGATGTCGATACGCGCGATTTGGGATCGCTTGGCCGCGAATCGCGCTCGTTAAGCCGTGAACACATCAAAGGTGTGCACTTTTTGCGGCGTAAGCGAAAATAGCCCGTTCACACGGCGAGGCGCGGGAGACAGACTAATGTGTTTTTAACTAACGTCTCTTCGAAACACATTAGCGGCGGCAATTATCGCATTATTGTTCGGCAAACTGGACGGAGGTGCTAAAAGAGCCGGGTTGATGCCGGGACAAGGGCATTAATGTGAAAGTGCATTACCTCGGTGCGTAAATAACGGCGGGGCGGGCGGACGGTGCCAGGGAAAGAGGGAATTTTAGCGGCCGTATCGAAATTTTCCTTTCGGGAGGTTGGGAGAAAAAGTTTCTGCTGATTTGCGCCTTCTCATTTGCTTGATTTGTGCTTTCTTTCGCGGTGGGAAGGCGGACAATTGGGTTATTGTTGTTTTTATGACTGGGTCTTTCATTTGGCTGTTTTACTCAAAACTGAGTAAGAATTTTGCAATTTCGGCTAACTTTTGCATCACACATGATTAATTAACTAGAAAAATGCTACAGACGGTAAGTCTACTATGATTTGTTTCTCTAATAAAATGTTAAAAAGCGCCCCGCAAGCTGCAAACCCCGTTCATACACAACATCTCACTCGCTGTGCGAGCTTGACGCAATTTCTTTATTTTATTCTTCATTTTCATCTCAATTCCTTTATTTCATTTCTTTTCATTTTCTATTTACATACATTTATCCAATTTTGCATATTTTGGAAATCAATTTTAGGTTGCCTCGACCTTGCATAGTTCTGATAACACTGTTCTGTTTTGTATTGACGATTTTAATAACTACAGAAATATGGGTCAAATACATGGATTAATAATCAACGCTCCAATTTTGATACCACGAGTTCAAGTTTTTTTTTAACCTGATAATGCCCATTTTTCAAAATGGCGATTTGGGAAAAATGATAGGAATTTTTGAATAAATGAAGCCGAAAATAAATTCTCGAAAATGTACAAAAAATTCTGGGATATAAATCTCGATTACTGATTCGAAAAACAGCACGGTGATAGTCCCGGACCAAGATTTTGGAAATTTTCTGTTTAAAAGATGTTTTTTTTTTAATTTCAAAAATTGTCTCATGGCATATTGACGATTTTGGACAATTTGCAGGAATTTTCAAATAAATGAAGCCGAAAATAAATTTTGGAGGTCGTACGGTACAGAAAAATTTCTTAGGTAAGTTCCAAAAGTAGTCGAAAAAAGGTCGAAAATTTCGTAAGGGGAGCGTACTGAAAAATTGAACCTTTGGGAAATTTACTCAAAAATCCATAAAAAATTCTAGGATAGAGATCTAAACAAGCTGATACGAAAAACACAGCGTGTGGACGGTTTCGAATCAAGATATTGGAACTATGTATATTTTCTTAGAGGATATATTATTTGGCAAAATCATTCTTATCTTAGCAAGTACTAGCCCCACCCACCCGTCCTCTATTTTCTTAGAGGGTATATTATTTGCCAAAATCAGTCTTAGTTCTTAGTACTTCCTAAGATAAGACCGATTTTGGCAAATAACGAAACGTTATAAATTTTTCGTAAAAAATAATTCTGTACTACTCACTTAAATATCTTTCGTTGTAAAAAATTGGACCTTTTTGAAAAAAACCTGCGAACTGAACACGTGTCTCCTTACCATTCACGAACCTGCATTGAAATCGAAATGGAAATCTTCCTTTTGTCCATTCTTCGCAACCCGGTCTTGTAAAACCGACCTTCCCGAACGTCATTCACCGCACCAAATAAAACTGCATAATCCGGTTCGGCTCCGACCCAGATCGACCTCACTCCATCGGCGAACAAGTGACCAACGATAATCGTCCGCTCTAGCGTGAACAGAATAGGTCCGCGACGAGCGCTCTGCGTGATCCTCTCGCCGCTGATCTATTCCTTCGCGCGCCACAACACTGCCGTCGTCATGTCTAATGAATCTATTAATCGTCAGTTAACATTCACACATCAACGCCGTCATTCCCGCAGCGCCAATTACCGCGCGTTAACCGCCGTTTATTTGGCGAATTTTTTTGACGGCAACTGACGATCCGATCGATTCCGGCGGCGCCTCCTGGGAACTGACTTTTGCCGTTCGGCCACGGCCCCACCCACCCCCGAACAATTACGTCTCAACCGGGTATGTACATATTTAGATTAAGAAACGCTTTGTTCGGCAAACTAAATAAAGCGGGCCTCGTTTAGTCGAAGTGTAAAGCTTTGAACGTTAATGCGGCCTAATGTAAGCGAGTAGTTGTGTTTACTAATAAAACACATCGGTAATTAAGCGTTGCTAATTTGGTAATAAGCATCCGCAAACACAGAATTCAATTAGCGTCGACCTCGATGCAGGGCCGGACAGTCGTAGGTTTACGGGAGGTGGAAGGTGGTAAGGGAAAGTGAACGTTTGGGACAGTGGAGAAACGTAGTGTCGTAATTTAAATTTTTTTATGTTTAATACTGTAACAACTTTCCGATAACAGGGATCGAGCGTCAAGAGTTTAACAGATTTTCAGATTATACTCTGATTTTTGTTGTTCCGGAGGCGTAAATATCAAATAACTTCACGTACGCTGCGAGGTCAACAATCAGTTTGAAGTATTAATAAAAATGTTTTTTTTTTTCGACAACTTAGTAAACAATTGGGTAATTTATGGGGTCATAATTTTGCCAATAAAGTCGCATTAAAATTTTGCCCACCTCCAAACAACATATACACACTTATTTGGATAACTATCTTGATTCATAGTAAATAAATATTGAATTTGTTTCGTGAAATTGACCATTGTGTACATATTTCATCCCACTTGCACTTGTGTATTCACAAATTGAAACAATTGCTTATTTTTCAGAGAGGTAAATAAATCAGTCACATATGTGCAAATCATTTGTGTACGTGGAAACAGTATCGGTCCAAGAGTGGACCCTTACGGAATTCCCCTAGAATCATGAAGACTTGACAACCGAGGTCACCGTTCACGCAAGAAGGGTTCGTAGAAAGTACGACAGTGTGCACTAGTGAGTCCTTTGCCAATTTATGCATGTTTCTCAAAGATTGTTGCAAAAAACCGTCACTTCTGAGCCGGATTCGAACCATTTTTGTTTTGAAAATGACCGTTGCGCGTCCGCCTTCTGCATCCTGCCTCGTCTAGGTTCACCGTTAATTAATCTTAAAGTTAATATATTATTCATGCGGGAATGATCAGCAACGTTTCAATTTAATTGTCGTCGTGTATATGTCGATCTAATTAAAATTATTATCCGCAATTGTTCTTGGAAACGGGCGCAACTCGTATGTAAATGTAATGTTTCAATTAAAAACGGACACTCTAAATATGTCCGGGTTAATTAATTTTTATTCGCGTGCAATCCATCCCTGCAGAACACCGACTCGAGAGCATTAGCATAACGAAAAGTAAAAAACAAGGAGAGTTAATTTAGTCCACGCAAATTGCTCCGTAAATTGGAAACGTCGAGATAATTGACCGTTTTATTATTTATGGCCATCCACCCGATTGTCATTGAAGATTTATCGAAGACCGATTTCAATTCTAACTAACTGAAAGGAAAGTGGCGCGACTCGTATTAAGGTTATTAAAGGTTTACCTTCATTGGCGGGGGTTTCATCCGGACCGGGTCGACACTTACCTACAACAGAAATTCAACACTTTAGCATGGCGTGCCACCACATCACAAACAAAAACCAATTAAGAACCGCGTTATCGACGATCAAATTAGATGACATATGTCAGCGTCTAATTACCGCGCTTTCGGCAATATTGACAGGTTACATACGATTCCCTGCGGATGCACACTACACGAACGACGAGATCTTCACCGATTATCGTCGACTGTTTTTGCGTGTACACAGCTAAGTGTGTTTACGCTCGATCTTTCAAAAAACTTCACATCTGTGTTTATGTTCTTATGGTGTGTCAACATGACTTAAGTAAGACTGTGTCACTTGAAGAAATAACGTTCTGATGTTTACTTAATGGTGTTTTAAATTACTTATAATAACTGTGCCGTTGCAAAAAATGCCTAATGGCGATAAAAATACGAGTAATAAGTAGCTGTGCGGCAATTACCGTCGCTTGTAATGTTGGGTTAGGTTTAGCGAAGCGGCTCTAGTTGAAATGGCGTAAACGGTGAAAAATGTCGAAGATAGCGGCGATACTGCGACGAAAATTTTAATTTTATTTTTAAATGGATTCGTTATCATAATGAAAAAGTGGATATGCTAGGCGAAAAAATAAGTAAAAGAATATTTAACGCAGTGTAAAGGTCAAGAACTGGCAATAGTGACACAGTAAAGGTCCCGAGGCAGACTCCTGCAGAAGGCTTTGCTGCAACAAATATAACCTTTTATATAACTGATTTGAAATGAAACCGAAAACCATTTCGGAAAAAGTAAAAAATTTCGAATTTGACGAAGTTGTCTGAAAAAAATATATACATTGACGAGCTGAATCGAAAAATATAGCAAATTTAGTCCCCTAGCAGGATTTACAAAACATTCGGTTTTAAAGTCACAAAATCCTGAAAACTGTGCTGTCGACAATTTTATAAAGAGGGGGAGTACTGAAAAACTGAGCTTTCTTTACCCACGTAAATACAGTGTGTCAGACGAAGACAGAAACAGAAACATACCAAATGTGGTAATTGACAGTTTTACTTCCTTGCCAAGACTAAAAGAATTTTACTATATTTACAGAAAAATCTCCTGGGGTACTTTTCCTGAAGGTGATCAAAAAAGGGCTGAAAATTTCATAAGGAGGGATATTGAAAAATGGAACTTTTGGAAAAATTGCCTAAGAATCCAGAAAAAAAACCAGGCTGCAGACATCGATGTGTTGAATCGAGATACAGAAAAATATAACATATTTATGATTCCCGAGCAAGATTTTCGAAATATTCAGTTTGATTTTTTTTTTATCGTAAAAGTTGCCATTTTCCCAAGAAATGAAGTCGAAAATAAATTCGGTAGGTCATAATCTATAAAAAAATTGTTTTGGTAATTTTCGAAGTAATAGTAATAGCAGTGGTAATTTATTCATGACAAAAATTACATAGTAATTTTTCATACGTCAATAAATATAAGTACACTCTCGAAAAATTGTTTAAAAATCCAGAAAAAATCCAGGATACAGATGTCAACTTGCTGAATCGAAAAATATAACGTGTTTATGATCCCGGAGCAAGATTTTCGAAATATTCAATTTTTTTTATTCCTAAAAGTTCGCTTTTTCATATTAGCGATTCTAGAAAAATGGTACGAATTTTTTGAAAAATGAAGTCGAAAATAAATTCTGTAGGTTGTAATCTACAGAAAAATTGCCTTAGGCAATTTTCGAAAGTGGTCGACAAAGGTTGAAAATTTCATAAGGGGGGAATATTGAAAAATGGAACTATGGAAAAATTGCTTGAAAATTTTGAAAAAAAAAACAAGAATACAGATATCGACGTGCTGAATCGAAAAACATAAAAACGTAGCGTGTTTATGATCTCCAAGCGAGATTTTCGAAATATTGGTTTTGAAATCATTTTTTTAAAGATCAAAAAAAAATATCATTTTTCATATTAGTGATTCTGGGAAAATGGAAGGAATTTTCCATGAAATGAAGTCGAAAATAAATTCTGCTAGTCGTAATCTACAGAAAAATCGTTTTAAAAAATTTTTGAAGGTGGTCGAAAAATGAAAAATCATAAAAAAGATTTTTTGAAAAGTTCCCTAAAAATTTACAAAAAATTCGGGATATAGATCTCCACGTGCTGATTGGAAAACAACACGTATTTATAGTCCCATTTTCGATATATTCTGCTCCAAAATAGAGTTCAGGGAACACTTACGAAAGGTCACCGACGAAATTAAGACAACTTTTGCCCCATCTTCTGGGGAAATGTAAATCCTTTGCTAACTTAAGACATATACTTAAAAATCTGAATTTAAGTGAGATCCAGATAAATCAGCTAAATTATCAGCATTTAATTTTATTTATCGGTGTTTTAAGTTACGATCAAAGGTAAAAGTGTGTTGAAAGCTCGACATCGAAGCTTTCGAATAAAAACTGTAGAAAGGAACAGCCCACGAAAGGTCTTCAGGCGACATTTCTCTTTCAGTTTCTTAATTCGATTCCTTGTACAGGAATTGAATTGTTAATTAAAGGTTGTCGAATAATCTGCCAAGCAATAAATTGGCGTGAAGAGAGAGAAAGAGTGCGAAATCGGAGCGAGACAGCGCCGAGAAATCAATAGTTAATTATTTAAGCGGCAGAAATTAATTAATAAAAAGAAACTTTGAACGCAAAGTGGGTTATTGATATTAAAACAAGTGAAGAACTGACAGCCCACTTGATTTATTCGCGTAATATCCTGGCGGGAAGTTTAATTCGCTCCTTAAAGATTTTTTAAAATTAAAAAAGATCGTAATATAAATGACAGTGTTATGACAAGGCGGGCGAGTGCGACTTTTAACTTCCATTATTAAAAAATATCATTCAGAAATCTGCATTTCAATGCACGCGGCGCGGGGGGCGGCGGGGGGGCGCCACGTGACACCCCCACCCCCACCCCCCACACGCGTTTAATTGCGGACCACGTGTTGGAATGTTTGTTATTCGCAGCGTCGGCGTCTGTTTCAGCGACTCTTTGATTAAATCGAGTCGGTTTTCCGGACGCCCGGAAAGAAAATCCGGTAATCTCTGTTCGAAATCTGCGATATTTGATCGTAGTTTGCCGGCTCGCCGCAATGGCGCTATTCCAATAATTGAATCGCTCTCCAATAGCCGTAATGCGCTAATAATACGTCATAATGTGCGATGGTATCGCTTGATGGGATTGCTTTGTTTCGGGCGGGAGCGCGCCTCCTTTTGGGCTTCTCTCTCGGGCAGACGGGAGATGTCTGTCTGCGTAATGCAATTTAGTCCAGATATATATATATATATTATGAAGTACCACCCGCCGCCCCCGCGCCGCCCCCGGATTCGCGTATAAACTATACAACGATCGAACCTACGGATCCGGGGCTCCCCTCGACGTGACGCGTGTCTTGTTTAATTATGGACGGGGGGCTTATTCATACAAGGAGTCGCCGTCAATCGAGAGGGTTTAATTAAAACCGAGGCCGCAACCGCCCGAAAAGTGCGGACGCTCGATTACCACCCCAAGGAAAAAATAATTGGATGTGTCTATCGTCTTGTGATGCGGAGATTTATATGGAGATTTTTCCTTGGGTTTGAGACGCAGGAAAGGGGGATAGCTTTGATGTTTCGCGATCTGGATACGTGTGGAGATTATAATATTCATTACATTGATTGTGTGAGAGGCCTATGGTGCTTGAGTAGACGATATTTGAGAAGTAGGGTTGCAATGGTCTGTAGTTGCGTGCCTAGCGTTTAGAAAAACATGTAGCTGAATATATGGAAATTTGAATTGATTCCTATACAGGGCGATCCAGAGTGATAATCAGAGGTGTGCCATTAATCGCCATAACTTGGACTCGATAATATGAATAAAACTTAGGGAATTAACAGGTCTCACTTTCTGCCCCCCCAAGTCGCTAAAACCAATTATGCTAATACGGCCCTGGTCACGTAACTCCAGAAATTAATTTCAGCCCTGGCCGCTATCAGATTTGTAAAATACATTCGCATATAGCACAACACAACGGGACTCGGAAAATCGTTTTCCAATCCTCGGACTTTCCCATCTGGAGTTATTGCCCACCAGCTCCACGAGGAAAAACCCGTAATTACCATAAATCCCCCGCGCCGCCCCAAATAATGAAATGATTTATTCGCAAAGTCATTTTTCTTTGATTCGCCCCGTGTAAAGGAAATTAAAATGCGTCTTCCACGTAATTCGGGCGCGGGGGTCAGGACGATTAAAAAAATAACAATCCCCCGCGCCCCCTCCTTTTCCCCCAAACAAGCTTATTCAATCACGATCCACTCGAAATTATATTCAAACCGAACACGGGCATAAACAAATCCAATTAAGTACGCATTTATTCTGACAAGCAGACCTCCCCTTTTTGACTGGTCGCATATGTGGAACAGCGCACCATGTTAAGGGTGAAACTCGACGAGGGGATGAATTACGCGCGACAGGGTTTCACGACGAAAATAATATCGTATACCTGATTTATTTTTATTGTTGCATGATAAACTATTGTGGCCGGGCGTACGCCCTCGTGCTGCCGAAAAAATTACTCCGAACGGGTTCTTGCCCTTCGAGGAACATCTGTATTTCGAGGGCCAAATGAAGATCTTCGTTTTGTTCGCGACGCAAAGACCGGGCAGGGCAGGGAGGGAGAATGGGCTTTAATAGATTAGATAATAGGGAACGGATCGGGAAGAAACGGAACCGGTCGCTTATTAAAATTGAATTGGGAGTGGAAGAAAAGCGATTAGTTTGGCTTGTTTTGCCGTGAGGATGATCTTGGGGGGTGAACAATGGGGCGCGGATTCAGGCGAAACCGGACTGGATGTGTGGAAAAAATGGCCCATGCCAAATTGGGTCCTCTTGGGAAAGACGCAGTTGAAAATTAAATTAGAAATTGTTCTAATCTAATCTAATTTGTGTTTTTATTTTTATTTCACCGGGATCATTTTCCAAAGTAGCGTCGTCACGCTGCAGCCAAGACAGCT